GGCTCAGTGGTTAGTAGTCAGGTGGGTTTGACTGGGCCTGGGAATGATTCACCTGTTGGCTCAGTGGTTAGTCGTTAGGTGGGTTTGACTGGGCCTGGGAATGATTCACCTGTTGGCTCAGTGGTTAGTCGTTAGGTGGGTTTGACTGGGCCTGGGAATGATTCACCTGTTGGCTCAGTGGTTAGTCGTTAGGTGGGTTTGACTGGGCCTGGGAATGATTCACCTGTTGGCTCAGTGGTTAGTCGTCAGGTGGGTTTGACTGGGCCTGGGAATGATTCACCTGTTGGCTCAGTGGTTAGGAGTCAGGTGGGTTTGACTGGGCCTGGGAATGATTCACCTGTTGGCTCAGTGGTTAGTAGTCAGGTGGGTTTGACTGGGCCTGGGAATGATTCACCTGTTGGCTCAGTGGTTAGTAGTCAGGTGGGTTTGACTGGGCCTGGGAATGATTCACCTGTTGACTCAGTGGTTAGTCGTTAGGTGGGTTTGACTGGGCCTGGGAATGATTCACCTGTTGGCTCAGTGGTTAGTAGTCAGGTGGGTTTGACTGGGCCTGGGAATGATTCACCTGTTGGCTCAGTGGTTAGTAGTCAGGTGGGTTTGACTGGGCCTGGGAATGATTCACCTGTTGGCTCAGTGGTTAGTAGTCAGGTGGGTTTGACGGCCTGGGAATGATTCACCTGTTGGCTCAGTGGTTAGTAGTCAGGTGGGTTTGACGGCCTGGGAATGATTCACCTGTTGACTCAGTGGTTAGTCGTTAGGTGTCAGGTGGGTTTGACTGGGCAGGATACAGTCAGGTCCATCTTGATAAAGATTATCAAAAAATACAAAATAAATCATTCAAATACTGAGTTATATTGTATGCTTAAAAAATTGACACACACACACACACTCTCCTACACACTCACCACACACACACACGCACACACACACTCTCCTACACACCCACCACCCCATCCTCTCCCTCCTCCTACTCTCTGTATAGCGCTCTGAGGTTATGAAAGCCCTGCTGCTCGCCGATTGGTCGTTGCTTTAGGAACTCCGCGTCTCACTATCATCACTCCATTCCCACTGCCAATCAGAGCGCCCGCTCGGCCCCTTGACGTCAGTCTCCTCTCCCCCTCGTCCAATCAGGCTCGTAGATAATACATGTACTTGACGCCGCACCGCAGCCTCTGGCACAGGTAGACGGACCCACCGCTGCACCGAGGTAATATATTAAAGATATTATACTAATGTTCTTAAATCTAATCAATAACAAAACGACATTTACTTTATATTCTAACGCAGCAGGAACGTTTACGGTCTAAGGCAGACTAGAGTGGCTATAGGGCGTAATACCGACGGTTAGGTTATATGGGTCAGATGTATGGCACTGTACTGTAAAGCTTTATAAATGTACAGGTGTTGTTGACCGGACAAAATAACGGGACAATGTAGCCACCGATCAGATAAATGCACTAGGTAAGAGAAACTCGATGCGGAGAGGAGTCTGCGTATCAAACCGACGCAGTTCTGGAACATTGCTAGCCTGCCCAAGGGACCCGGGGAATGTGTCGAAAGTCTTATAACTGTGTTGTTACCAGTTATTGTAGAACTATATTGTTTTAGGCTATATTATTTAACTGAGTTAAGCTCTCCTGTAAAGTTGCAAGTTGATGTTTCTATAACGTCTAGTCAGGATTGTAAACGTTTACTGACATTTTATACTAATAATCGTATAATCTGTTAATCAGACTATTATCGGACATAAGAACTGTGAGTGTGTAACATCTCGATAACATATGAATTGGTCTGGTCCAATATGGATCTCAACTCAGTATCATTGTCCTGTAGTTATGCAAGCGGTCATATTCCATACTGACGATCACTTGTCCTTATATAGGCTTTCTCATTGTCAATCTGTAGTAATAATAATAATATTTCATTTGTACACACGAATCCTTTCCCCTGTATAATTATCTGTTATCTTCTATATTTCTTGTCATTTTTGCAGTATGTTATAAAATCTCTTCTGCTATGCAGCCTTTCAGACTGTTTGGTGACCACTGATCATTCTAGGTTCTGTCCTGTCACAGTCTCTATACATTAACCCTTTCCCCTGTATATGTATTTTATATGTCCTGGTTATAGGTTCTGTCCTGTCACAGTCTCTATACATTAACCCTTTCCCCTGATATGTATTTTATATGTCCTGGTTATAGGTTCTGTCCTGTCACTGTCTCTATACATTAACCCTTTCCCCTGTATATGTATTTTATATGTCCTGGTTATAGGTTCTGTCCTGTCACAGTCTCTATACATTAACCCTTTCCCCTGTATATGTATTTTATATGTCCTGGTTATAGGTTCTGTCCTGTCACTGTCTCTATACATTAACCCTTTTCCCTGTATATGTATTTTATATGTCCTGGTTATAGGTTCTGTCCTGTCACTGTCTCTGTACATTAACCCTTTTCCCTGTATATGTATTTTATATGTCCTGGTTAGTCTAGGGGTTTTCCCTGTATATTTCTATATGTCCAGGATAGTCCAGAGGTTTCCCCTGTATATTTCTATATGTCCTGGTTAGTCCAGACGTTTTCCCCTGTATATTTATGTTATATGTCCTGGTTAGTCCAGGGGTTTCCCCTGTATATTTCTATATGTCCTGGTTAGTCCAGAGGTTTTCCCCTGTATATTTATGTTATATGTCCTGGTTAGTCCAGAGGTTTTCCCTGTATATTTCAATCCAGAGGTCTTTTACCATCTTATTTATTTTGTGCAGCATTTATTTCTAGTCATTTAAAAACAAACAATATGGTAGTTATTTGATTCATGACTATGTCCATGGCTATGCAGTGTGTGTGGTTGACTAGTCTGGTTATTAATATATTAAACAGTATTGTGTTTGCCCAGTCCTCTCCCTGGTCAGAGACAATCAATATTCATCTGTGTGTCTGTGTCTGTGTCTGTGTGTCTGTGTCTGTGTGTGTGTGTGTGTGTCTGTGTGTGTGTGTGTTCTCTGTGTTTTCCAGTCTCCTCCCAGCCCATCCCCACAAGCCAATCAGAATGGAGATGAACAGCACGGCCACCATCTTGTCCTCTGCCTTCCTGGCCGTGGAATATGTTGACGCTGTCTTACCTGAAAACCCTCTACAGCCTTCACTACAATACGCCTGGGGGTAATAGGACTATACTACTACTATACTATTACTATACCACTACAATACAACCTGGGGGTAATAGGACTATACTACTACTATACTATTACTATACCACTACAATACGCCTGGGGGTAATAGGACTATACTACTACTATACTATTACTATACCACTACAATACGCCTGGGGGTAATAGGACTATACTACTACTATACTATTACTATACCACTACAATACGCCTGGGGGTAATAGGACTATACTACTACTATACTATTACTATACCGCTACAATACGCCTGGGGGTAATAGGACTATACTACTACTATACTATTACTATACCGCTACAATACGCCTGGGGGTAATGGGACTATACTACTACTATACTATTACTATACCACTACAATACGCCTGGGGGTAATAGGACTATACTACTACTATACCACTACTACTACTACTACTACTACTACTAAACTACTGTACTACTACTAATATACTGCTACTAAACTACTGTACTACTACTACTATGCTACTACAAAACGTATATACTAATACTATACTACAACTAATATACTACTTCTATACAATTGCTATACTAGTATACTACTACTATACTACTACTAAACTTATATACTACTACTGTACTATTGTACTACTAATATAATACTACTGTACTACTACTATACTATTACTATAATACTACTACTATAATACTACTGTATTACTATAATACTACTATACTACTACTAATCTTCTGTACTACTACTATAATACTAATATACTACTGTTACTACTACTATACTACTACTACTACTACGACTTCTACCCATATACTACTGTACTACTACTAAACTACTATACTATTACTGCTACTACTACTACTACTACTACTACTACTACTACACTAATACTACATTATGACTATAATACTACTATACTACTGCTACTAAACTACTACTACTATTGCTATACTACTACAATGCTACGACCATTATACTACTACTAATACACTACTATACTACTACTACTATTGCTACTATACTACTACTTCTATACTACTATACTACTACAGTTTACCTGACAACCTCCAGCCCTCACTACAGCATGCCTGGGGGTAATGAATGACTGAATGACTGATTGAATGACTGATTGACTGACTGACTGACTGAATGAATGGCTAAATGACTGGCTGACTGACTGACTGAATGGCTAAATGACTGGCTGACTGACTTACTGAACGGCTAAATGACTGGCTGACTGACTGACTGAATGGCTAAATGGCTGACTGAATGACTGACTGGATGGCTGAATGAATGACTGACTGAATGACTGACTGAAAGACTGACTGGCTGACTGAATGGCTGAATGAATGACTGAATGACTGGCTGAATGAATGACTGGCTGAATGAATGACTGGCTGAATGACTGACTGACTGGCTGACTGAATGGCTGACTGGCTGAAATAATGGCTGACTGACTGACTGACTGGCTGACTGAATGGCTGAATGAATGACTGAATGAATGACTAAATGGCTGACTGAATGACTGACTGACTGGCTGAATAACTGACTGACTGACTGGCTGAATAACTGACTGACTGACTGGCTGAATAACTGACTGACTGACTGGCTGAATAACTGACTGACTGGCTGGCTGAATAACTGACTGACTGACTGGCTGAATAACTGACTGACTGACTGGCTGAATAACTGACTGACTGGCTGAATGGCTGACTGAATGGCTGACTGGCTGACTGAATGGCTGACTGAATGGCTGACCACACCCAGTTCCAGGCAGACAGACAGACTGACGGACATATCATTTGATTAATTGATTGATGTCTGTTGATCTCTGTCCACCAGGTATGTGAATGAGAACTACACTAAATTCCAGATCGCCACCTGGGGTTCTCTCATCGTCCATGAGGCCATCTACTTCCTGTTTTGTCTACCTGGTTTCCTGTTTCAGTTCCTTCCCTTCATGCAGAAGTACAAGATCCAACCGGTAGGTGGTGTGGGTTAGATCCAACCGGTAGGGGGGGGGTTAGATCCAACCGGTAGGTGGTGGGGTTAGATCCAACCGGTAGGTGGTGTGGTTAGATCCAACCGGTAGGTGGTGTGGTTAGATCCAACCGGTAGGTGGTGTGGTTAGATCCAACCGGTAGGTGGTGGGGTTAGATCCAACCGGTAGGTGGTGGGGTTAGATCCAACCGGTAGGTGGTGTGGTTAGATCCAGCCGGTAGGTGGTGTGGTTAGATCCAACCGGTAGGTGGTGTGGTTAGATCCAACCGGTAGGTGGTGTGGTTAGATCCAACCGGTAGGTGGTGTGGTTAGATCCAACCGGTAGGTGGTGTGGTTAGATCCAACCGGTAGGTGGTGTGGTTAGATCCAACCGGTAGGTGGTGTGGTTAGATCCAACCGGTAGGTGGTGTGGTTAGATCCAACCGGTAGGTGGTGTGTGTTAGATCCAACCGGTAGGTGGTGTGGGTTAGATCCAACCGGTAGGTGGTGTGGGTTAGATCCAACCGGTAGGTGGTGTGGTTAGATCCAACCGGTAGGTGGTGTGGGTTAGATCCAACCGGTAGGTGGTGTGTGTTAGATCCAACCGGTAGGTGGTGTGTGGTAGATCCAACCGGTAGGTGGTGTGGTTAGATCCAACCGGTAGGTGGTGTGGTTAGATCCAACCGGTAGGTGGTGTGGTTAGATCCAACCGGTAGGTGGTGTGTGTTAGATCCAACCGGTAGGTGGTGTGTGTTAGATCCAACCGGTAGGTGGTGTGGTTAGATCCAACCGGTAGGTGGTGTGGGTTAGATCCAACCGGTAGGTGGTGTGTGTTAGATCCAACCGGTAGGTGGTGTGTGTTAGATCCAACCGGTAGGTGGTGTGTGTTAGATCCAACCGGTAGGTGGTGTGTGTTAGATCCAACCGGTAGGTGGTGTGGTTAGATCCAACCGGTAGGTGGTGTGTGTTAGATCCAACCGGTAGGTGGTGTGGTTAGATCCAACCGGTAGGTGGTGTGTGTTAGATCCAACCGGTAGGTGGTGTGTGTTAGATCCAACCGGTAGGTGGTGTGTGTTAGATCCAACCGGTAGGTGGTGTGTGTTAGATCCAACCGGTAGGTGGTGTGTGTTAGATCCAAGTAGGGGGGGGGGGGGGTTAGATCCAACCGGTAGTTTTTTTTTAATAGAAGAAGCAGTGGGATTTTTTTAATGCTCTCTCTCATCCTCTCTGTGTGTGTTGTGTTGTGTGTTGTGTGTTGTGTGTGTGTGTGTGTGCGTGTGTGTGTGTGCAGGACAAGCCAGAGACGTGGGAGAAACAGTGGAAGTGTTTCAAGATGCTTCTGTTCAATCACTTCTGTATCCAGCTGCCCATGATCTGTGGGACGTACCACTTCACTGAGTTCTTCGGCATCCCCTACGACTGGGACAGCATGCCACGATGGTACATCCCAACACATACACACAACCTCCCCTATGACTGGGACAGCATGCCACAAAGGCTGTTCTGTCTATCTCTCCCCTCCCCAGGCCCTACCTGCTAGCTCAGTATTAAGGCTGTTCTGTCTCTCTCTCCCCTCCCCAGGCCCTACCTGTTAACTCAGTATTAAGGCTGTTCTGTCTCTCTCTCCCCTCCCCAGGCCCCTACCTGTTACTCAGTATTAAGGCTTGTTTCTGCTTCTCCCCCTCCCAGGCCCTACCTGTAACTCAGATAGGCTGTTCTGTCTCTCTCTCCCCTCCCCAGGCCCTACCTGCTAGCTCAGTATTAAGGCTGTTCTGTCTCTCTCTCCCCTCCCCAGGCCCTACCTGTTAACTCAGTATTAAGGCTGTTCTGTCTCTCTCTCCCCTCCCCAGGCCCTACCTGTTAACTCAGTATTAAGGCTGTTCTGTCTCTCTCTCCCCTCCCCAGGCCCTACCTGTTAACTCAGTATTAAGGCTGTTCTGTCTATCTCTCACCTCCCCAGGCCTCCTACCTGTAAACTCAGTATTAAGGCTGTTCTGTCTCTCTCTCCCCTCCCCAGGCCCTACCTGCTAGCTCAGTGTCTAGGCTGTTCTGTCTCTCTCTCCCCTCCCCAGGCCCTACCTGTTAACTCAGTATTAAGGCTGTTCTGTCTCTCTCTCCCCTCCCCAGGCCCTACCTGCTAGCTCAGTGTCTAGGCTGTGCTGTGATAGAGGACACCTGGCACTATTTCCTCCATCGCCTGCTGCATCACCGCAGCATCTACAAGTACATCCACAAAGTGCACCACGAGTTCACTGTGAGTACACACACACGCACACACACACAACACCACAACAAAAAAAAAAAAAAAAACACACACAAAAAAAAAAAAAACAAAAATAAAAAAAAAAAAAAAACAAACCCCACCAAAAAACCCCAAAAAACCAACAAAAAGGAGGCAAAAAAACAAGGCAGGCAAAAAAACCAACAAAAAAAAAAAGCGCAGACAGGCAGGCACAAAGTAGCACAAAAAGCAAAGTTTTGTACGGTTTTTGAGGTTGGGGAGTAACCGAAAGGGATGGTTGAATCCCCAAGCCAAATGGTGAAAAAAGGCCCTTGAGCAAGGCACAACCCTAATTGTCCTGAAGTCGCTCTGATAAAAGGGGTGAAAGACAAAATGAAAACAAATTTTTTTAACCTTATCAGTGGTGGTGGGTACCGTTTCCGGGGTGGGACCTCAAAAAAAAAATATAAAAGAAATCCCTTTGGTAATTTTTTTTTGAGGGAAAAACGAAAACCCCAATTAGGGTAGGGGGGGAAAAAAGGGAAAAAAGAAAGAAAGGGAAAAAAAGAGAACAAGGAGAAAGAAGAGGAAGGAAGAGAGGGGGGAAAAAAGAAAAGGGAGAGGAAAAGGGAAAAAAAGGAAGAGAGAGAAAGAGAGGGGAGAGAAAAGAAAAGAAGGAAAAAGGGGGAAAGGAAGAAAGAAAGAGGGGAGGGGAGAGAGAGAGAAGAGAGATAAAAAAAAAGAAATATTTAATTTATTATAAAAATATATATTATATATATTTTTTGTATTTGTTTTGTTGTTGTATGTTGTTGTTGTTGTGGTAGTTGTTGTGGTGGTGTGGGGTAGTTCCCCTTTTGGGATGAAAAAGGGGAGAGTACGAACCCTGCTGAGACGTGATCCTGGGGTCGGGGGTTTTTTTTTGGCACATGGTGTTCGAACCACGTTTACGGGGGGAGGGTCGCCCCTTTCCCTCGTGGAGACCATCGACGTACACAGGACAACAAACCACACAAAAACACACACACACACACACAAAACAACACTCTAGAGAATGTAGGAAAATGGGGTTTTGGGGTGGGAGGGAAAAGCAGTAAAAAATCTCCCGATCTACCCTGTTGTTCTGGCTGACCCCCAGGGGGTCCGATTACCATGTTTTTTCTTGGTTGACCACAAGGGGCTCCAGATTTTTTTCCTTTTCTCGGGTTTCCCCAGGGGGCTCCATATCTACAGTTGCTTTTTAACGGGAAAAATTTTTGGGGCCCCAAGTTAAAAAAAAAAAGGGAAAAAAAAAAAAAGGGGGGGGGGGGAAAAAGGAAAAAGGAAAAAAAAGGGGGGGGAGGGGGGAGAAAAAAAAAAAAAAAAGAAAAGAGGGAGAGGGGGGAAAAAAGGGGGGGGGGAGAGGAAAGGGAGAGAAAAAGAAAGGGGGGGGAAAAAAAAGGAAAAAGGGGGGGGGAAAAAAGGGGGAAAGGGCCCAAAGGAAAAGGGGGGGGGGGAAAAAAAAAAGGGGGGGGGGGGAAAAAAATTTTTAAAAAAAAAATTTTTTTTTTTTTTTTTAAAAAATTTTTTTTTTTGGGGGGGTTTTTTTTTTTTGTTTAAAATTTTTTTTAAAAAAAATTTTTTGGGGGGGGCCGGGGGGGTTTTAAAAAAAAGGGGGGGGGGCCCCCCCTTTCCCCCATGGGGCCCCCGGGGGCCCGGGGGAAAAAACCCCCCCCAAAAAAAAAACCCCCACCCCAAAAAAAAACCCCCCGGGTTTTGGGGGGGGGGGTAAAGGGGGGGGGCCCAAAAAAAAAAACCAAAACCCCCCAAAAAAAAAAAGGGGGGTTTTTTTGGTTTTTTTGGGGGGGGGGGGGGCCCCCCCCCCCTTTTTTTGGGCCCCCGGGGGCCCCCCCAAAAAGGGGTTTTTGGGGGAAAAAAACCCCCCCCCTTTTTTTTTTTTTTTTTTAAAAACCCGGGGGGGGGGGTTTTAAAAAAAGGGGGTAAAAAAAAGGGGGGAAAGGGGGAAAAAAAAGGGGGAAAAAAAAAGGGGGGGGGGAAAAAAAAGAAAAAAAGGGGGAAAAGGGGGGGGGAAAAGGGGGGGGGAAAAAAAAAAAAGGAAAAAAGGGGAAAAATTTTTTAAAAAAATTTTCCCCCCCGGGGGGGGAAAAAAAAAAGAAAACCAAAAACCCCCGGGGGGGGCCCCCCCCAAAAAAAAACCCAAAAAAAAAAAAAAAAAAAAGGGGGGAAAAAAAACCCCCCGACCTTTTCCCCCCCTTTCCCCCCCCCTCCCTTCCCCCCCAAAACCCCCCCCCCCCCCCCCTTTCCTTTTTCCCCCCCCCCCCCCCCCCCCCCCCGGGGGGCCCCCAAAAAAAAAAAAAAACCCCCCCCAAAAACCCCCCAAAAAAACCCCCCAAAAAAAGGGGAAAAAAAAAAAAAACCCCCCCAAAAAAAACCCCCCACCAAACCCCAAAAAAGGGGGGCCCCCCCAAAAAAAAAAACCCACGGAACAGACCAAAACAAAAAAAAAACATAGGTGTAGGATGGGTGGGGAGTAAATGCACGTAAAGATCTCCAGATCTACCATGTTGTTCTCTGGTCTGACCACCAGGGGGCTCCAGATCTACCATGTTGTTCTCTGGTCTGACCACCAAGGGGCTCCAGATCTACCATGTTGTTCTCTGGTCTGACCACCAGGGGGCTCCATATCTACCATGTTGTTCTCTGGTCTGACCACCAGGGGGCTCCAGATCTACCATGTTGTTCTCTGGTTTGACCACCACATACTACCTTATGTGTAGGTTATGTGTATTCATATTCAAATGTTAAATAACACAGGTGTTTCTGCTCCCCCCGAAAGGAAAAAGAGAGGAAAGGAAGAGAGCAGAAGAAAAAGAAGAGAAAAAAGTAGAGAGAGAGAAAGAGAAGAAGAAGAAGAGAGAAAGAAAGAAAAGAACGAAAAAAGAAGAAGAACGAAAGAAAAGATCACGAAACGAACAGAAAAAAGACCCTCCCACCCAAACCGCGACATCCTTCTCTTTCTCCAGCTCCTCCTCTTCCTCTCTCCTCTTCCTCCCCTCCTTCTCTCTCCTCCCTCCCTCCCTCCTCCTCTCTCCTCTCCTCTCTCCAGTGGGTATGACATCCCTCTCAACCCTCTCCACCTGATCCCGTTCTATGCCGGAGCTCGTTTCCATGACTTCCACCATATGAACTTTGTAGGGAACTACGCCTCAACCTTTACCTGGTGGGACAAGATACTCCACACGGACTCCCAGTACAACAGACACCTGATGAGCAAGAAGGAGCAGTAAACGCTCACGCAGACAGACACACACATAGACACACACACACACACACACACACACACACACACACACACACACACACACACACACACACACACACAGACACACACACACACACACACAGACACACACACACACACACACACACACACGGACGCAGACAGACGGACGCTCACGCAGACACACACACACACACACACACACACGGACACAGACACACACACACACACAAACACGTGCACTTATGAATGCACGCTTACACACACTTCATGAAGTGTCAGAACTGGACTCCTGAGTGTGCAGTGCCTTGTGGGAAAAGAACACACTAAAATAGAGTAGAACACTCTTGACCAATAACATCAATCTTTGTTTGGTCTTGACCAATAACATCAGCCCTTGTCTGTTCTTGACCAATAACATTCAGGGTTGGGGTCAATTCCATTTTATATTCCAGTCAATTCAGGAAGTACACAAACATTCCAATTCCAATTCTCTTCAATACTTTTCAATTAGGAACATTTAGAATTTGAATTGGAGTTTGGTTCACTTTTTGAATTGACTGGAATTTAAATTGACCCCAACCCTGATAACATTAGGCATCTTTGGGGATTGAGGCTGAGTTTCTGTATAAGTACTTTGAGACATCTGCTGATGCTTTATAAATATATTTGATTGATTTATTGTCTGGTCTTGACTCTTGACCAATAGCATCAGGCCATTGTTCCTGAATAAAAACATTATTCTGGTGAGATTATTATTAATCATGTATTTTTCTTCACTGTTCATTGTAATTAAACCTTTTTTTACAAGTTGGATTCATTGAAGCACTTTACTTCCATTTTATGGTTCTAGATCAGTTCAGTGCGGTTCTAGATCGTCCAGTACGGTTCTAGAATATCAGTCCATTACGGTTCTACACTCTTAGAAAAAAGGGATTTCTTTTGATTTTCCCTTGATGTCAAGCAAAGAGGCACTGAGTTTGAAGGTAGGCCTTGAAATACATCCACAGGTACACCTCCAATTGACTCAAATTATGTCAATTAGCCTCTAAAGCCATGACATCATTTTCTGGAATTTTCCAAGCTGTTTAAACGCACAGTCAACTTAGTGTATGTAAACTTCTGACCCACTGGAATTGTGATACAGTGAAATATAAGTGAAATAATCTGTCTGTAAACAATTGTTAGAAAAATCACTTGTGTCATGCACAAAGTAGATGTCCTAACCGACTTGCCAAAACTATAGTTTGTTAACAATAAACTTGTGGAGTGGTTGAAAAACGAGTTTTAATGACTCCAACCTAAGTGTATGTAAACTTCCAAATTCAACTGTATATAGATACTATACACCCATTCAGCCTATTGACCTATAACACACCTTCAACTCTTATAGAACAGAACATATTTCTATACTTCATCAACAAAACGTCAAGTTTTAGAAGAAGAATGTTCTGATCTCGTAGTGTGACAGAATTATTAGATATATTATCAACAGAATGTTTCATTCATTAATTCATTCATTGAATCATTCCTCATGTTAGTGGATTAGACTATTTTCCGCCACACCCGCTGCTGACAGGTGTATAGAAATCAAGCACACAGCCATGCAGTCTCCATAGACAAACATTGGCAGTAGAATGGCCTTACTGAAGAGCTGAGTGACTTTCAACGTGGCACCGTCATAGGATGCCACCTTTCCAACAAGTTAGTTCGTCACATTTCTGCCCTGCTAGAGCTTCCCCGGTCAACTGTAAGTGCTGAAGTGGAAAAGTCTAGGAGCAACAACGGCTCAGCTGCGAAGTGGTAGGCCACACAAGCTCACAGAACGGGACCAGCGAGTGCTGAAGCGTGTATCGCATAAAAATCGCCTGTTCTCGGTTGCAATCTTAACACTACAGCGTACAATGACATTCTAGACATTCTAGACGATTCTGTGCTTCCAACTTTGTGGCAACAGTTTGGGGAAGGCCCTTTCCTGTTTCAGCATGACAATGCCCCCCGCGCACAAAGCGAGGTCCATACAGAAATGGTTTGTCGAGATCGGTGTGGAAGAACTTGACTGGCCTGCACAGAGCCCTGACCTCAACCCCATCGAACACCTTTGGGATGAATTGGAACGCTGACTGCGAGCCAGGCCTAATCGCCCAACATCAGTGCCCGACCTCACTAATGCTCTCGTGGCTGAATGGAAGCAAGTCCCCGCAGCAATGTTCCAACATCTAGTGGAAAGCCTTCCCAGAAGAGTGGAGGCTGTTATAGCAGCAAAGGGGGGACCAACTCCATGCTAATGCACATGATTTTGGAATGAGATGTTCGACGAGCAGGTGTACACATACTTGTGGTAATGTGGTGTATCTGTAAGGTGTTATGTATGATATAATGTGATACCATTCTATAGCATTTATACTAGGCACTACTTTATGTTGTAACTGTGGAACCTAGAGCATTGATACTGATTGAGTACTGCGCCTGTGCATGAATGTTCTGATTGTCCTGTAGCTTTAATGTCCTGGACTAATAAAGGCCTGGACTAATAAAGACCTGGACTAATAAAGACCTGGACTAATAAAGACCTGGACTAATAAAGGCCTGGACTATATAGACAGGGTGTCACCAGGGTAGAGAGGAGGAGGCAGGAGGCTGGAGGCAGGAGGCAGTCTAATAAAGGCCTGGACTATATAGACAGGGTGTCACCAGGGTAGAGAGGAGGAGGCAGGAGGCAGGAGGCAGGAGGCAGTCTAATAAAGGCCTGGACTATATAGACAGGGTGTCACAGGGAAGAGAGGAGGAGGCAGGAGGCAGGAGGCAGGAGGCAGTCTAATAAAGGCCTGGACTATATAGACAGGGTGTCACCAGGGTAGAGAGGAGGAGGCAGGAGGCAGGAGGCAGGAGGCAGTCTAATAAAGGCCTGGACTATATAGACAGGGTGTCACCAGGGTAGAGAGGAGGAGGCAGGAGGCAGTCTAATAAAGGCCTGGACTATATAGACAGGGTGTCACAGGGAAGAGAGGAGGAGGCAGGAGGCAGGAGGCAGTCTAATAAAGGCCTGGACTATATAGACAGGGTGTCACCAGGGTAGAGAGGAGGAGGCAGGAGGCAGGAGGCAGGAGGCAGGAGGCAGTCTAATAAAGGCCTGGACTATATAGACAGGGTGTCACCAGGGTAGAGAGGAGGAGGCAGGAGGCAGGAGGCAGGAGGCAGTCTAATAAAGGCCTGGACTATATAGACAGGGTGTCACCAGGGTAGAGAGGAGGAGGCAGGAGGCAGGAGGCAGGAGGCAGTCTAATAAAGGCCTGGACTATATAGACAGGGTGTTACCAGGGTAGAGAGGAGGAGGCAGGAGGCAGGAGGCAGTCTAATAAAGGCCTGGACTATATAGACAGGGTGTCACAGGGAAGAGAGGAGGAGGCAGGAGGCAGGAGGCAGGAGGCAGTCTAATAAAGGCCTGGACTATATAGACAGGGTGTCACCAGGGTAGAGAGGAGGAGGCAGGAGGCAGGAGGCAGGAGGCAGTCTAATAAAGGCCTGGACTATATAGGCAGGGTGTCACCAGGGTAGAGAGGAGGAGGCAGGAGGCAGGAGGCAGTCTAATAAAGGCCTGGACTATATAGACAGGGTGTCACCAGGGTAGAGAGGAGGAGGCAGGAGGCAGGAGGCAGTCTAATAAAGGCCTGGACTATATAGACAGGGTGTCACCAGGGTAGAGAGGAGGAGGCAGGAGGCAGGAGGCAGGAGGCAGTCTAATAAAGACCTGGACTACATAGACAGGGTGTCACAGGGAAGAGAGGAGGAGGCAGGAGGCAGGAGGCAGGAGGCAGTCTAATAAAGGCCTGGACTATATAGACAGGGTGTCACCAGGGTAGAGAGGAGGAGGCAGGAGGCAGGAGGCAGGAGGCAGTCTAATAAAGGCCTGGACTATATAGACAGGGTGTCACCAGGGAAGAGAGGAGGAGGCAGGAGGCAGGAGGCAGTCTAATAAAGGCCTGGACTATATAGACAGGGTGTCACCAGGGTAGAGAGGAGGAGGCAGGAGGCAGGAGGCAGTCTAATAAAGGCCTGGACTATATAGACAGGGTGTCACCAGGGTAGAGAGGAGGAGGCAGGAGGCAGGAGGCAGGAGGCAGTCTAATAAAGGCCTGGACTATATAGACAGGGTGTCACCAGGGAAGAGAGGAGGAGGCAGGAGGCAGGAGGCAGTCTAATAAAGGCCTGGACTATATAGACAGGGTGTCACCAGGGTAGAGAGGAGGAGGCAGGAGGCAGGAGGCAGTCTAATAAAGGCCTGGACTATATAGACAGGGTGTCACCAGGGTAGAGAGGAGGAGGCAGGAGGCAGGAGGCAGGAGGCAGGAGGCAGTCGCAGGTTTAGAACTACTGAATTTATTAAAGCGCCATCGCTTAAAGCGGGACGAAACCCACAGTGCAAAATATAACGCACTCAGGAAATAGTAGGAGAGATTCCTCTCAGGAAAAAAACAAGCAACATTTACAATGACCGACAAAGACAAATGACAGAGGGAGTCTATATAGAGTGGGGATTGGAACCAGGTGTGTGTAATGATGACGAGACGAGTCCGGGGGGTTGATGAGTGAAGGGCGTTTGCCAGCAGAAGGTTCAGCAGCAGCTAGAAGGCCGGGGTTGATGAGTGAAGGGCGTTTGCCAGCAGCAGGTTCAGCAGCAGCTAGAAGGCCGGGGGTTGATGAGTGAAGGGCGTTTGCCAGCAGTAGGTTCAGCAGCAGCTAGAAGGCCGGGGTTGATGAGTGAAGGGCGTTTGCCAGCAGCAGGTTCGGCAGCAGCTAGAAGGCCGGGGTTGATGAGTGAAGGGCGTTTGCCAGCAGCAGGTTCGGCAGCAGCTAGAAGGCCGGGGTTGATGAGTGAAGGGCGTTTGCCAGCAGCAGGTTCAGCAGCAGCTAGAAGGCCGGGGTTGATGAGTGAAGGGCGTTTGCCAGCAGCAGGTTCAGCAGCAGCTAGAAGGCCGGGGTTGATGAGTGAAGGGCGTTTGC